AAACCAACTCTTGGTACTCTTCAACCGAAGTATGGGCATGGCTGAAGAGTGGTTGGCTGGATTAAACCAACTCTTTGTACTCCTCAGCCGAAGTAATTATATCGGCTAAGGAGTGGTTGGCTGGTAAGCGTGGTTAGTTTAAGCCATTTAAAACCTTTTGTTTTTCGGCTTCGGCCGAACTAACCATTCCGGTCAGTCTGCCGACCTCACCTCGTAGTTCGGACATTTCCTTTCTGGCCTCCTCCAGCTCGGCCGCTTTGGCCTCAGCCTCTGCCGCTGCTTGCCTAGTTACTTTCCTAAGCTCCAGTACTTTCCTATGGGTGATTTGGTTTTTCTGAAGGGCCTGACAAAGCAAAGATTTCCCTTTAAACCGAAGTAAAAGTTGAAAAAAGAAACTAGTCAGCAAAACGACCGAAGTTGCTTACCAGAATCATGGATTTTGTCGTTGATCGGATGGCCTTTAGTTCGGTATTCAGTTGTTTTTGGTGATGCTCCATGTCTTTGGGGAGGCATACACCCTTGGCCAGATTGAGGGCCAACAAGTGGTCTTTTTCAGCAACAACCGAATCTGTATCTCGGATGTCTCGGTCGTTGAAAGTAAGTTTTGGGGCCCAGTTGCCGGTAGTTCGGTCAGAAGGTACCAGTTGGGGGCTCTGTGGCAAGCTCGGCGGAAGTACGGGTTCTGCTTCATCAACCAAAATTTGTTCGGTCTCAGCAGTCCGGGCGCGCTTGGTTCGGCGAGAAGAGGACGGCTGTTGAGAAGGGAGGGCCACAACAGCAGGTTGCGATTGGCTGGGTGGTGTTACTTCGGGCCTAGTTGTTTCGGTTAGAAGGGCCCTAACTTTGCTTTTCTTTGCCATCTCTTCTTCAGCGGTTAGTAGGACAAGTCGTATTTCGGGCAAGGTTGGGTCCGGTTCAGGTGCTTCTTCAAGAAGGCAATCGGTCACTCGGGCTTTTCGACGACCGCTATATCTGTAGGTCGGCTCAAAGTTTAGAAGCTTAGCCCAACTCCTTTCTTTAACACGTAATGCGGCTCGGAGTGTGTTTAGATTTGGGTAACTGTAATGGGAAACAAGATGAGTTGAGTCTGCAAAAAGGATAAAACTGTTAGATCGGTTATGACATCCGAAACCAAAGTACAAGAAAAAAAAATACATAAAACCGAAGTAAACTCTACCAGGTTTTCCTTTCTTCCAGTTTATACTTCGGCCTGGGATTTGGGCTTGCTGATCTTCAAAATTGCCCGATACCCAGAAAAAGTCATCATCATTAACGTCCTTATCCGGCGTATCTTGTATTATCTTTTCTCTACGGCGGCGTATCCTAAGGTAATAAACCCAGCCATCTTCTTTGGAACCTATGGAGTACTGGTGGAAGATTTCGGCTAAACCGAGGTTCAGGCCTTCTTGACGGTTTAGCTCGGCTATACCCATTATTATTCGGTATGTATTGGTGGATAGCTGGGTTGGGCTAGGTCTGGTTTGCCTAAGAAATTCACAAATTAAAGGCTGGACTGGGAACCTTAGTCCGGTCTCTATTATTGAAAGCAGGGTAAAGGGTACAAAGCCTGCCTCACCCCAGGGTATGATATCCTTCTTGGCTAGGGTAAGGTGTACATCGTCTGGAATGCCATAATCCCTTCGGAATTCGGCCATGCCACCAGGGGTCTCTACCAAATACCTATACTTACCCATCTGATGTATAATTTATGAATAAATTATATCGGTGCAAAAATCATGCTCAGTAGCTCGGTTGAGCGCACGCAGGAGTGCCTGGATAACCTAAGTCTGCAAAGTAAAAAACAAAGGGGTTAAGCACAGATCATTGGACCGTGCTACAATTTAAAAGCAAGGTATAAGCGCCCTACTTCGGCCTCCTGAACTGGTTCTACCTCGGTTCGTCAAAAGGTTTGGTAGCTCGGTTTGAGCAGGTCGCTCGTTAGACCGGTTCATCGTCTAGGGGCAGCTTTCTGAGTTCGGTTTAGAAACTAAGAAAGCTGGTTTGGCCCCAAAGGCCTAAATCGGTTGAAGTATGAATAAAGTTACTTCGGTTGAGCCTCTAGGGGCAACTTTCTGAGTTCGGTTTAGAAACTAAGAAAGCTGGCTTAGCCCCAAAAGCTTAGTTCGGTTGAAAACCGAGGTTCCTAGTCTAGTGTATTCAAACTTCGTTCGGTGATTTTATTTCGGCTACAGTGAATCAGGAGTTGGTAATTTTTTAAAACCTGGTCGATCCTAGTTCGGTTATTGGCTAAAGTGATCTACCTATATATGACAAACAGTACCCTAGTTCGGTCGCTACATTATTTTGGATCCAAGACTAGTTTTCTACAGGATAATTCATACACACATGAGTTCTACTGAAAGTACAGAAGCGTAGCAAAAATGGAAGAAATATTTTGCAAAAACACACTAAACATAATACATTGAACAGATACGAAGGTAAAACATGGAAGGGAGATGGATTTGCTTACCAGATGGAATAAAAGAGGACTGGAGTCGGCAACAGTATCAGCAAATGAAGAACACGAGCTGGATAATGGAAGAAACAAAGGCACAGAGAGAGAAGACGAAAGAATAGTGGAGAAAGTGATTCAAAAAATAAAAGGGTTGTTTTGGTTAATGGACGAAAGGGCGGAACTGTTCAAATTTTTCATACTACGAGGGCGGCGTGACAGCTGCTCCCAGCCTATCAGAACCTGCCACGTGTCATTGGAAAGATTTTTTTGTACTATGAGGGTGGCGTGACAGCTGCTCCCAGCCTATCAGAACCTGCCACGTGTCGTTGGAAAGGGAAGCGCTACAGTCGTGATTGAAGAGACGTTTTGACCGGACAAAATGGAGCCTGGAGTAAAAATTAGCTCGGCTTAAAAGTCTTAAGTGTTTTTTAGCTCGGCCGGAGAGGTTAAAGGGTTTTTAGCTCGGCTGGAAAAGCTTAAAAACTCCCGCTCGGCTGGTATACTGGTAATCCCAATCATGCTCTGCAGATGGAATTAAGGGGCAATTGAGAGGGTAAAAAATGGAGCCCGGAGTAAAAATTAGCTCGGCTTAAAAGTCTTAAGAGTTTTTAGCTCGGCTGGAGAGGTTAAAGGGTTTTTAGCTCGGCTGGAAAAGCTTAAAAACTCCCGCTCGGCTGGTATACTGGTAATCCTAATCATGCTCTGCAGATGGAATTAAGGGGCAATTGAGAGGGTAATTTTTGGGAAAAATTGGGCCGAGCTGTGAGATGGACTTTATGGCCCAAAGTACGAAGAACAGGATAGAAAGGCCCAATAGAAATGTAAAAGTTACTCCGGCTTAGGTGAGGTAAAATTACTTCGGTGCAATAAGATGTAAAGCTACTCCAGTCCGGGCAACTTGGAGTTAGGTCGGTCCCAGTAATAGTCCGGTTGAGATGTATTGAGGTTAGAACGGCCAAAACACTGCTACTCGGTAGCTCGGTCTTGGAGTTGTGCCGGTCGCAATTTGTTAGTTCGGTCCAGTCGTGTTATGGGTTGAGCAGAGGAGAACCGAGATGAGGAGTAAAAACAGAACCGAATTAAGAGTAGTTCGGCCTAGTCAGTGGCTCTGCATAGCCAGGCTTATTTCGGTTATATCGTAGTTCGGCCAAAGTAAAAACCATCCCACTTGGTTTAAGCAGTGGGGGGGGGGTGTAAAAGGATAAGCATTATCCTTAGGAGTATGAATCCTAGGAGGACTCTGCATGGAGGAATAAGAGTCCTACTAGGATTGTGCCACACGAAACTTATAAAAAGCTCACAAACATCACCTTGGAGGAGGTAACAGAACACAACACACAATTTTGCTTTCTGAAAACATAGAGCTTTGTCTATTTGTCAAGTTTACTGACTTCCCGTACAGCGTGGTTACATAAGAATTTAATATGTAATTTAATTAACTTAATGTATTATTTAATTATATGTAATTAATTTAAACATTTATATATATATATATATATATATAAGGTGTTATATATATTGATTTTATATTTATATTTATATATGTTATATTTATATTGTATTTATACAATATTATATAATAGTTTATTAGGTTATAAGTGTTAGAGCCTCACTAAGGAAAAACTGAGAGCAGGAGCAGCGGAAAGTTGAGAGAGAGAGAGAGAGAGAGAGAGAGAGAGAGACGGCGGGGATGAAGAGGAAAGAAGGAGAAAAAAAAATTAGGGTCAGAATTATATTTTTGTGACTCTATTATTTTTTTAAATATTTGTTTTTTATCTGTAAAAATAATTATGAGTATAAAATTCATTTTTCTTAATTTATGTTTAATTTGTTGTTTTATTTTATTTTATTTTATTTGATGTTAGTTTAATTTTGTATTTACATGAATATGATGGATTGATTTTAATTATTTTAGTTAGTTATCACCATAGGAAATTACACTTTTAGCGACCAAATTTGACTATTAAAAAAAATTTAGTCGCCAAAAGTTGTGGAATTAGCGACCAAAAATTATATTAGTCGGCAAAAATACATGATTTAGCTAATAATTTTTTTTAGTCGGGGTATATTGATTATTGGCGACTAAAAAAAATCTAGTCACTAAAAATGTCACAATTGGCAACTAAAAAAATTTTGGATCGCTAAAAATGCAGCAATTGGCGACTAAAAAAATTTTTAGTCACTAAAAATGTCACAATTGCAACTAATTTTTTTTTTAATCGCTGTATAGTTAGTTTTGGCTACTAAACTTATTTAGTCGCCGAATGAAAAATAAAAATTTACTTTTTATTTTTGGCGACTAAAAGTTTGGTCGCCAAAATTTTTTTTGGAGCAACTAAATTTTTTACCAACTAAATGTTTTAGTCAGCACTTTTAATTAAAATTTTGGAGGGAGGATTTTGAATTTATGAAGGGTTCCTAAATTAATTGGCGATGAAACTATTTTTCAGTCGGGAAAAAGTTAAAATTCTGTCTTTGGCGACCAAATCTGTTAGTCAGGAAAAAAAAAAAAAAAGGGGTAGGTTTGCAAAACATCACCATTTTTGGCTAAATAAGCTCTAATTTCTCTGCCTCCCTTTCTCTCTCTCTCTCTCATGCCTCTTCTCCTTCTATGATCTCTCTCGCACCGTCGTACCTCCATCGATCCACCATTGGAACATTATCCCAAGTATGTCTTTCGCCCCCTCTCTCTCTCTCTTCAGCGCCTCTCTTCCCCTCCCTCTCCCTCTCCGCTGCTCCTTTTCCCTCCCTCTCTCCCCGCCAATCTTCAATTCTAGGGTGTTGAGACGTATATATATGCCTTAGATCTTTTGATGTATAGATTCAATTGGAGCTCTTCAAGTTCTTCTTCCACTTCTTTAATTGGAGCTCGATCTAATTATATGTTTTGTTTGTTTTGTGCATTGCAAGGTCGGAAAGACCTCTTTGATGAATCAGTATCCTTCGTAGATTGTTTATTAATTTAATTGTTGAATTTAACGGTGTTTATTTTAGTATATTTTTATTTTTGTGGATTTGGTATTGTTTGCCTTGAATACTTGCTTTTAGATATGTGAATAAGAAGTTTAGCAATCAATACACGGTAACAATCGAAGCTGATTTCTTGACTAAAGAAATTCAGTTTGAAGATAGGCTCTTTACTTTACAGGTTAGTGATAATGTTCAATTTTTTTGTCATTGAATTCATTTTTATGTGTTTTTGTGCTCAAATGTTTATTCTTTGTAGCTGTTGAACAACTTCAGTGTTGGCTTCTCATTATATTTGATTTGGTTGTTGAGAAAACAGTGGAATGAATGATAAATTAAGATGAACGGATAAATGATCTAGTATTTCTCACAGGTCCATGACCAGAATAAGTAAAGATTCACTTTCTAGGTCTGGTCTACCTTGAATTTGACGTTGATATGTATACTATTTGATCAATTATTTTTTAAATTAACTGTTGGCGAGGAATTGGTATTAAATGATAAAGAAGTGACCAGTTGACTAGACTCTGTTGTCTGGTTTGCTTGTGCGATTAATGGAAAGCAGCTTCTTGTTTGAGATTGCAAAGTTTCTGCATCAGTTGATTGTTTTTTATGATAATCATTATTTCTCTCAGTTGAATCTCGGGCATAGAGAAGCACAATGGGTGTATCTCTGTTATGCTATTAATATGATGCTGCTCTCATTTATGTTTGTTTCACATCTATGTCAAGGACCATTGTTTTTTTGTTTTGGGTGCAATTTGCTGACCTTAATTTTGTTTGATTAGTAATGTTGGGACTTTTGAACAAGATTTGGTTGAGACCTCTCTTTTTTCTTTCTTTTTTTGTAGCTCAGGTGTTCGATGAAATGTCTAAGTTCACTCCACACCAAATTTTGGGTTTTGTTTTTAGTTAATGGGGCAAGGTGTTTTGGATATTAAGTATAGATATGGAGATAATAGGTTTGCCTTTTGGATTTGCCATTTTGTATAGTGTATGCATGTGGTTCTCCTATCTATAACATTTCATATTTTAAAGGCCAAGTCTAAGAGTTATATAAATTCTAGACTACACTAATTGATTATTCTTAACATAGCACACTAACCAATTATTCGAACTGTTTTGGGATTTCAACAATTTTGCCTTCCAAACTGTGCAAAGCAAACTGTTTTGTGTATCTGTTTTAGGCTCCTTCTCCTTATATCTATGGCATACACTTGACTATACTAGTTTCATATCCTTGTGTTGCTACTGTTTAACTTTCGGCGACCAATAATTAACTATACTCCTTCTCCTTCTCCTTATAAGTTTCATTACACTTGACTATGCTCCTTATATCTACCAAAGTTTAGTAGCCAAAAGTTCAATTTCGGCGACCAATAATTTAGTCACCAAAAGATCATCTTTCCCAACTAACCAAAGTTTAGTAGCCAAATGTTTAACTTTCAACGACCAAAAATAATACTATCGCCGACAGAGTATAGGCGACGAACTTGGCGACAAAAAAATTTAGTCGCTAATTAGATTTGGCGACCAAAAATGGGATTTTGGTGACCAATATTTTGGTCACCAAAACTGTCATTTCCTGTAGTTTGTGTATGCAAGGTTTAGGGTTTTTTTATGTATTTATTTTATGGTTGTAATCACACTCATGATTATATGAAATTGAAATAAACTTAGAATCCATAGATATTGGTTAGATGATGGATTGATTCGTTGATCTTATTTATTTATTTGATGTTGGTTTAATTTTGTATTTGCATGTAGATGATGGATTGATTTTATTATTTGGTTAGATATATATGTAAGGTTTAGGGTTTTTATATATATTTATTTTATGATTGTAATCACACTCATGAATATATGAAATTAAAATAAATTAGGAACCCATAGATAAATTTCTTCTACTCTACCATGACTCCATGGATTGTTGTTTTATTTGAGTGTTGGTGGAAAAGAAGAGTGTATAAAAAAAAGTAAGGATTGTGAGATTTATTTGAATGCCTTAGGCTTGGCATTATTATATTTGTTCTCATGAGTAGATGAGAGATTGTGTGTATATATATTGTTGCATCGTTCTTATGAGTAGACAAGTGCTTTAATTTATGCACGTACGTATATGCTAACCATCCGGGGAGTGTGGGTCAAACTCGGGACGATATCCCCATGCAAGTTTGGCTTCGGAGCGGTGTTAGGTATACGAGAGCTACATGGGACATATGTGTAGGCCAGAAGTGAAGGGCCGAAATTATAGAGTTAAGGTACAAAGAATTAAATATGAGTTTATTGTTATAGTGTGAATTGTATTGATTTATACATCTTGAAAAATAGTAATCGACCTCGATAAATTATGAAATTTGAGTAGAGGCATGTATACGTGATTCTAGACAACTTTTGTGTTTTAACTTTTTATTAGAAAGATCGATTATAACTTATAATTGAATGATCTTGGTTATAGTAGTTTTGATTCATTTTAGCAATGCAGATTTTAGAGGCTGTTTTAACCCACGAAACGAGCTCATTTTTGTAGGTTTCTCATAAAATGAAGTAAAATATTATTTTGAACACTTTTTGTGTTTTGAACTTTTTCGAAAAAATTCATCTTACAACATTTTCTTTTCGTTTTTAGTTCCAAATTTTTTGATCAAATTTCGTTTAGGATTTTCTATTAAGTTTTTCTCTCAAACTGTTCAGTTTCTACTAAATTAGTCCGCATTGTATTTTAGAAAATTTGATTCTGTACAACTTTTGTTCTTTGAGTTTTGGTCAATTCAAATTATTTAAGCATGAAACAGTGTATTTTTAAACTTCTTCAACAAGTTACTTATGATTAAATTATACTAACTTTTTTTTTTTGCAGGATAGTGGGTCTTACTAACTTTTTATGCAGGGCTAACCCACCATATTTTTATTTTTATTTTGTTTATTTTATACTCAATTTATATTTCGTTGTGTACGGGCTAGAAACCAAATGCCACCGTATCTTGGGAAACTATCCATTCGTCTCGGTGCGGATGAAACTACTTGTCTTGTCCCATAACAAGAATTAAATGTATTTTTGTTTGTGTCTGGTGGACACGTGGGTGTTAAATCTTGTACTCATACCAGTGGACTTATACGCTACGCGAAGCCAGTTTGAAAGTTGGACTTATACGCTAAGCGAAGCCGGTTTGAAGAGTGGACTTATACGCTACGCGAAGCCGGTTTGAAAGTTGGACTTATACGCTAAGCGAAGCCAGTTTAACGAGTGGACTTATACGCTACGCGAAGCCAGTTTGAAAGTTGGACTTATATGCTAAGCGAAGCCGATTTGAAGAGTGGGCTACGCGAAGCCAGTTTGAAAGTTGGACTTATACGCTAAGCGAAGCCGGTTTGAAGAGTGGACTTATACGCTACGCGAAGCCGGTTTGAAAGTTGGACTTATACGCTAAGCGAAGCCGGTTTGACGAGTGGACTTATACGCTATGCGAAGCCAGTTTGAAAGTTGGACTTATACGCTAAGCGAAGCCGATTTGACGAGTGGACTTATACGCTACGCGAAGCCAGTTTGAAAGTTGGACTTATACGCTAAGCGAAGCCGGTTTGAAGAGTGGACTTATACGCTACGCGAAGACAATTTGAAGAGTGGACTTATACGCTACGCGAAGCCAATTTGAAGATTGGACTTATACGCTACGCGAAGCCAGTTTGATGAGTGGACTTATACGCTACGCGAAGCCAAGTTGAACTCATGATTATGCAAAGAGAGCTGTAATGAAGCAGTTATGCGAAATAGATGCAACATTTTAAGCGAATGCTAGGCAAGCAAGTAAACTCGAGCCAAACTACACCTCGTGTAGAAAGGATGTAAGAAAATTATGGAATTCTCACTGCAAATTCAGTGCATGTGTGATAGATACACAGAGCGAACATGTGATTGTTACACAAAAGGGGGAGCACAAAGTGTGATAGATGCACAGTGTGAACAGGTATGATAGATACACAAAATGTGAACACGAAGTGTGATAGATGCACTTAATGAATAAGTATGATGGATATACTAAATGTGAACACAAAGTGTGATAGATGCACTTGACGAACAAGTATGATAGATATGAATGAAGCGAACACAAAGTGTGATAGATAACGTATTTCATACGGAGAGAGGGAAGGTTTTAACCAGGGAGAATAACAATGGTGTAACCAACAGGCATATCTCAACGTATTTCATACGGAGAGAGGGAAGGTTTTAACCGGGGAGAGCATCACATCCTAATACGTTTCACGTGAAAGGAGGAAAGGTGGATTTCGAAATTCGAATGCGCCTCACGCAAAATGGAAGAGTGGTAAAATGATTTCTTGCTGACAAAGGGTAATCTCTACATGTAAAAGCCACGGACGCCGCTTTTCTTTCTGATCACATTCACAACTTTCCCTATTCTCCAACGGGGTGACAGACTAGGTTGGTTCAGTATCCAGAATTGAGGTGCATACATGCTATCTCAACCTATGGGGCTTCCATACAGATTTCAAGCCGAGGACACGCCTCTGGGTATTTAAACCAGACTTTAATCTCGGAAATCCCGAACCTTTGTGTTCTAGGCATCAGCCATTCGAACTCTAGTTTCCACCGTTGCAGTTGGTCTCCTAGGAACTCATTGCAAACACAGCCAAGATGCATCTGGCAGGGGCTGGTTTTCTGAGGGAGCACTGCGATTACCATTTTGGCTTGAAGCAGACTTGATCTTGAGCTTGAGGTAGAGGCACACTCATACTTCGGAGCGTTGGCAAGACTTGAAGGGGTACACACGGGATGTAGTCTCGGAACTCACTGAAGTTGAAACAAACTCAGATGCTCGACATTTCCTCTTTTGCTTTGCTTTGTAGTTTGGAACCCATATAGCTTCAAATAGGTCCTAGTTTTACTGTTCTGACGTGACCTATGTTGAACCCTGCGGTTTTATGAAAGAACGAATCTTGTTTTGCACAGATATGGAGAACGGCACGGCACTCGGAGCGCAAAACGATTTTACTTTTGAATTGATAAATGAGCTCTTGACCGAGTATCGAGCCTACGACTGAACACAGCAAGACAACTCAACAAGGAAATAAAAGGCACACAACCTAGACACATCGAGTAACACTCGAAACGACTCAAAACAAGAATCAAGATAAAACAAAAAGACACGACACTCAGACGTGCACAGGGAGCCTGTTTCACCGGGTAGTGTTTCCCACCCTTTCTCATTTGTGGTTCTCACATCACTCGGCCCTCAAGCTCTGTTTTTCTGAAAAAGCCCTTTTCTCACTTTTTCTCTCATCGCATATCTCTCTATTCTTCAATCTCTCATTTTTCCAATCCCTCCCCTGGGTGGTTGATGGATGAACAGGTAGTTGCGGGCTCACACCCAACATAATCAGCTCGCGGCTATTTCCTTCGGTGACATCTGTCGATGCGCCGGATGAGGGAATGGAGCATCTCGATCCATTCTAATTCGTGCTTCGCACTCGGCTTGATACCTCGCTGCTTGGAGGATGAGAGAGCTTTCTGCCCTTTTGTGGTTGACTTCAGTTGTGCCCTTTCCTGCAAGTAGAGTACCCTTTTCCGACAAGCAGAGTGCCCTTTCTGGCAAGTATTTTGGCAAAGGGGAAAAGACAGAACACCTGACTCAACTGTGCCCCTAGTTCATCATTTTGACCTTTTTTTTTTTTTGTTTTAGTTTTTTCCTAAAAAAAATTTGACCAAAATGAGAGTTAGATTAACATGCTTGTTCAATTTTCTGATTTAAAATCATGCAAGTTAGGCTATAAACACTGAAAATTTTCCTCTTTTGGGTCCAAGAAATGGTCCAGTTTTGCAAAATGGAGTACTTTTCGAGAAGATTAGTCAGCCTCAGTAAAAATTCTCAAAAACTATTTTTGCAAACGACCACTGCTCAACGAGCACGGAACCTACTCTCGAGATGCACAACCTCGGATCTATAGCAATGGAAAATAGCCCCTTATCTGAAGGACACTACATGGCAACGGAAAGTTGCCCCTTGTTTGAACGGCACCGCGGCGCATTAAATGGCAACGGAAAGTTGCCCCTTGTTTGAACGGCACCGCGGCGCATTGAATGGCAACGGAAAGTTGCCCCTTGTTTGAATGGCACCGCAGCGCATTGTAGGCAATCCTCAGAGCGGCGAACACGACTTGACTCTCGGATACAGAGAAGGCAAAGATGACCAGAACCATCGCATGGACACAATCGAATTGTTTTACGGCTGGACTTCAGAATGAAGTTGCCTACGTATCCCAAAGATGGGAATCAAGCCTTACGTAGTTCGGGGTTAAGGTACACTCGGGTATTAACCTCTCCTTTTTATGCTCTAACTTTTGCCAAGGCGCCTGTTGCAGGTTTTCGACCTTGCGAGCTTCGTTTTTCTTTCCTTTTCGATTCTTTTCATTTCTTTTCTTTT